AAATTCTATAATGCAAAATATAATAACAATACTAAGAAATAAAAACAAATATAATAATAAAATTCAAATAGAAACAAACAGAATAATAAAATTTAAACTTTTCAAATAATATATATTAAATCATTAGATTCTATATATTAAATTATTTAAGTTTTCTTAAATGTATATTTTATGTATCATTAGATTTAAAATACATAATAAATTAAATGCATATCTTTTAATGATCTAAATAATTCAAATCTTTTGGTATAATACTTACGTAGAAAAAATCTAATGGTTGAAACAAATGATTAAGTCTTTTGGTAGACACATATCTTATGATCTATTATCTCGATTGGTTAGAGCTTCGTGTTGATAACGTGTTGTAAAGGAAATACTAACAATAGTAAAATAAAAGAGAAATATAATAAAAAATGAATTTACTATAAAATAAAAGTGATAAGAATTTTAAATTATTCTTTCAATCTCTACAAAAATCTTGTACAAAAACTAATAAACAATCAAGACTATTTACGAGCTTCAAGATTAGGAAGAGAATTGGAAGAGAATTGGAAGAGACTATAAATCATTAAAAAGATTCATAAATTATTGAATAAATTGCACATCATTTCGATTTCTCATATTGAATAGTGAATTGAATCATACGGATAGTAAGAATATAAAATAATCATGAACATTTATTATTTCATAACACATCTTTCCTTTTTGACCTCTTTTATTGAACAATATTAAAACATCATGCTTGTTTTCTATTTTTATGTATTTGCATTTTGACATTCTTTTATAATTTTTAGTGTTACATAAATTTAATTTAGACTTCGTTCATGATCACCACTACAATTTTTTTTCTATAAGTGTTCGATGAGTTAAAAGCAAGCGTGTGTCGCCCACACTTAGAACACCAAAAGCCAATAAACTTTATTCATGCCAATCGTAGGTTGGCGTAGTATTAAGTGAACTTTTTACAGTGCATTGGTATATGAAATTGAGAGTAGAAATCTCTTCTATTGCAGTTTGCAATTGATGACACATCTACATCCTCCCACATGAACGTAATTACCATAAAAAATCTCAAAAATTCATCTCTGATATAAATACGATGGGGATTGTTCTAACTAAAAGATGGTTTGATATAAAAGGAATGATTTTTGTTAGAATATAAAATAACCTACCCACCTTTCCATTCTTTTTTTTTCCTATATAAAAAACTCCATTCGCGAAGCTTCTTGTTCTTTCTTTTTTATAAATTCTCAGCATTTTTTGTATTTTGGTACATTAAATATGTGTATAAAATTATAATTTTTGTTATTGTTACACAATTTACATGTATAATATACAATATTTGCATTTTTTTAATAATTTCAATGCAAAAGTACCTCTGGCCACATTTTTAACCAAACTTCAAAAGTTTTACAATTTTAAAGGAGTATGCCACTACAATTAATTTATAAGCCAAAGACACACGATCAATTTTGATTGAGTTTGGTTAAGCCAATATGTAGATTGGTTAGAGATTTCAATAATTCGTCACTTTTCTTAATCAAATTGAACTATCTCGATTTAAATTAAAGAAAATGACTATTTATTTTTATTTTTATTGACAATTAATGTTATACAAATAAAAATAATAAAATTATTCGTTTCGATTGATACGTGATAAAACCTGATCTCATAAAAGTTATTATAAGAAATATTTTCTCCTTGATAAGCAAATGAGAATAGAAGTGAAAAACATGTATTCCCTTTGTATAAAACTTGATTGTAATTATTCCTATATATTGTTTTTATTCTTTCATTATGTATATTTCTTACAAAATCGATCTTTTTAAAATAAATTTAATGTTAAATTTGTATTTTAACTATTTATTTATTTAAATACATAGGAGGGTTATGGTAAAATTCAAGATTTATATAGAATTAATATTTATTTTTTATTGAATATTAATTATCAAACGTTAATTGCAAATAAAAAAATATTTTTTTATTAACAATAAATCCTTCAAGTCGCCCTGAATTCGATGAGGTCCCCATCCCCCCACCACGCCACCCCCCCCCCCCCCCCCCCCCAACAAAACCACGAACCAGTAGAGAACAAAGTGGGACAACCCGCCCAAACTCGTTTCGTCAACTTTCTTATGTAGAAAGTTTTTTTTTTTTTTCGTCCTCAAATTGCAGTTTTATGGGCAAACGAGAAAGGAAAGTTCAAGGCTCTCTAATCAAACCCTGTCATTAACATTATCACAAAAAAATAATAATTAAAAAAAATCAATTGCGTGATAAAATTTCAAAAGATACCCCTACAAATATATTACTTTCCACGCGCCATTTAAAAAACTACCATGACGTCGAAAAACTTGTAAACTATTTTTTGCCTCTATAAGTTTTCATAATATTCAATTCAGTCCCTATAGTTTGAATCTTTCAAGAATTTTAAAATGTTTTAATTCGAGTACAAGACTCCTAACCATGAAATACCTAATAAATTGCACATCTTTCATCATTTATTTTTTTCCCGTTACATATATTATTATTAACTTATTTTTTTTAAATAGTTTAAAAATTGAACCTTTTTTTTTAATCTATTTAACTCTACTTTCACTATAAGTAGTGCACAAAAATTAAAACATCACAGTTTATATATATATATAAAATCTAGCATGGAACATGGAGTTAAGAGTTTTTTAAATTAAAAATCTCAAATTGAGTTGGGGTGATAAGCTTATAGTTAGATTATATTTAGAATGTAATCGAAGTTTAATTCAATGCTTGAAAATCCCATTTATAATTACAAATAGATCTTTATTTTTTTTTATAAAATACTTCTTACTTTATTTAAAAATTTTTAAATTATTACACTTAATCATTGCCTTTTGCATCTTTTTATTCAATATATATATATATATATATATATATAGTTGTGTATGTACATGTATTACATAAAAAAATTATTTTATCATATTAATTTCATTATATTATATACTCGGAGGAAAAATACGAGTCTTTTAATTTTTTTCGAAACAACCTTTATATATATATATATATATATATATATATATATATATATATGTTATTTAATAAAATTCATTTTAATTTTTTTTTACATATGTGTGCAAGCAAGCGTCCGTGTCTATATGCATAATGTCAAAAGGATGTAATTTTTTTACTTATAAAAATAAAAAAAACTATCTTATCAATTGAATTTCATTATACTCTAAAAAGATATTCTTAATTGTTATTTCAAAGCATAATTTATTGTTAAAATGAAATGTTTAAACCATGTATTTTTTGTTGTTGTAATTTTATGGGTACGTGGGCTCTTAACAAATCATTTTGAAAGCATTTTTACAATAAACAACACACATGCTAACCGGTTCCTTTATTTTTTGTTTTAGACATAACGACAACCCATAAGTAATAATCTACTTCGAAGTTAAACCCAAATTTAATAATGAAGGGTCAAATTGAGAATCTATAAAAACATAATCTTATATTAGAAAATTCAATCAATAGGATCTGAATTTTTTTTTGTTTTAGACACAACGACAACCCACAAGCAATAATCTACTTCTAAGTTAAACACAAATTTAACAATGAGGGGTCAAATTGAGAATCTATAAAAACATAATCTCATATTAGAAAATTTGATAGATTCTATAGGCGCCGTCTAACGTACCGAGCCACTTCGCAAACAAAAATAAAGTGCCCATGCAGAATGGGAGTGTAATCACGCGCTAAGTTAGAGCGTACAATAATTCAACAACCTCATATTGTTGTCTGGTAGTAGTAGCAGTTTTATTAAATTTTATTTTCTTGCTTAGCTTGTAAATTGCGAATAACGTCATTGCTGCAACTCTTTGCCACTTGCCACTCTCAATCTCTCTCTCAAAAAAGTGAAAATTAGAACCGATCGCTCTAATCCAATGGACAGTGTCGGAGCTTGAAGCCCTAATTCTCTCTCTTGCGTTCTGTCTCTCTCCTTCTCCTTCGATCCAGGTAGCTCCTTCCTTAACAAAAACCCTAGGTTTTGGAGCTCCGTAGATTAGCACAGATGAAACCCTAGGATTTAGAATTTGTCTAATTCGATCTAAACTTGAACTTCTTTATCTTATTAATTTTTATAATCAAACGTTTTTTTAGATGGTTTAGGGTTCGGGATTTTTTAAGTTCCGACTTTAGAAAGAAAGAAAGAACGAGCGATTAGTATTTTTTGCATATGTGAATATCGAGCTTCATTATCGGGCTTATTAAGATTTTGTCCATCTTTCTTGTGAATCTAATTGTGGATGGAGCTGGATCAGATAATGGTTTTAGCTTGATAGTATCTTATATTTGATCATTTCTTGGTTGGTGCTGACTTGGATGTGTTGAATCTGATTGGGTATGTGTTGATAGGTGTTCGACTAGCGATAATTGACGAATTTCTGGCAGTGAATAAGCAAATTTTGTTAGTGAACTTTTCTGGGTTATATCGAGGACATGATTTTGGACGGATATAGGTATTGAAAGCGGAGAGATGGTGATAGGAAATATGGGTACTGCTTAGCTGATGCGAGATTTTGTAAATTTGAACTTACATGTAGTGATTAGTGGATAGAGAACGGGATTGATTGAATTGTGTTTGGCTGTCGATATAACTAAGTTTTAGCAGAATGAGTTTACAAAGTGAAGATCAACATCAACCGAATAAGTACGCTGAATCAAGCAACAAATCACGAAAGTAATGGCATTCTTTCTTATGTTTTCTGTTTTTGTGGTTGATTTGAATTGTTTTTGAGTCGTTCTTCTTTTTGTTTTTATGGGATAGTAAGTGATATTGGTTGTTTGAGTAATGCAGGAAGCTAATAATTTCATATACAAGAGAATTCCTACTATCCTTAAGTGAGTTGGATGTTTGCAAAACATTACCAAGCGGATTTGATCAATCACTTCTAAGGTAAGTTGCGTGTTATGTGGTTAGGTCTTGTCTGTATAAACCTTACCTCTTCAAAATTTGAATGAAAATGGTTTCCCTTATTGTTGGTACTGCAACTGCTATTGCTTTCTTCATGCTTTGTTGTGAAACTGATTCCCATTTTCCTCTCTCTGCCAGTGAATTTGAGGATACTTCACAGGATCGTTGTAGAATTCCTGGCAGTGCATCATCACAAAGTTTTAGACGTAATGATTATAGTTCATCCCCTCCCACTAAAGGGGATTCAATTAATTTTTCTCGGGGTATTCATGGAAGGTGGGATAGCCGTTCATCTGGAAGGAGTGACCGGGACAGTGACTCACAGTCTGATTGGGATTCAGGTAAGGCTTGCCATAAGTTTGCTGTCCCATTGATCTTTCTGTCACGGGGACTAGTTCACATTTTTTGGTTCTGATAATAGTTAAACAGTTATGTGTTTTACATATAAGAAATTATATCAATACCAATGCTATGGTTATTTTTTACTTTCGTTATGAGAAACTAAATGGAAAAGGTGCTAAGTGTTAAACATCCGATTAATATACCAAGAGTGGGCAAGAATCGCCTTCCTCTGTTATCTGGATGTACTAGGATTTAGAAAATTACTGTTCCATCTTCATGTGTTGCATCTGAAGGTAACATCTCGAACATTTTGTAATTCAAGCCATTTATTAGTATGGAACTGTGGAAATGCTAACTCACATTTGACAATACGGAGTTTGTTAACTGATATGCTGTTTCAAATGGCTCTTTCAACAACCACTAGTGCACTGTTTGAGATTTTGTTGTTATCCTTCCTGGCCAACCCTGAGTAGATGCAAACCATTCCTTCTACATGTACGAGAGAAATCTCAGGCTGATGTCTGTGGATGTAGCCCAAATATGAAATTGTTCACCCCTTACTGCCAAGAGAATCAAACTCATGCTGTGCATTGAAACTAAATTTCTTGAGTAAACTCGAAATCATCAGTTCAACACTGCCATTTAAATAATAGATTGATTTAAGATAGTAAGCAGCTATTATGTGACTCAGGTAATCGTCAATTCCTCGTTGTTTATCAAGAAACAAGAACCTGATTAAGCCAGCCTACTAGTAACAGAAAACTATGAATCACAAAGGAATAAACTCACATGTTTAGCCAGCAAAAGAGACTGAGTCACAGGCTTGCGAAAGAAATATTTAGAGATTTTGGAATAAACTCACGCATTGTCCCAGCGAAAAACTTGTGATGCGTTCCATAGGACAATCTAGTTACTGGATCTTTAATGTGGGGAAAACGAAAACCTTCTCTGGCCTGGTATTTGTATATTTGAATTTGACTTTTTGTCAAACCTTAAGGTTGGCTACTGTTGTGATGCAAGTTGGTTTGTCGTTTTGGAGCTTAACCTGTTTGTGGAATGTAGAAGCAGAAATTAGTCGCTTAATTGATATGTTTTACTGAGATTTCAGTGGACTGTTAGTATGTAATGCAACTATCTAAATTACAAATCCAGTAATATAGTTATTGACTGGATGAATGATGTGTATATGTCTAGATTCTGGAAAGCGTTATGGCAACCAACCTCGGCGACCTTGGCAAGTTCCTGAGCATGATGGACTTCTTGGTAGTGGTTCTTTTCCTAGACCATCAGGATATGCTGCAGGGCCATCAGCTCCAAAGTTGCGATCTAACGATCAATTCCAGCTCAATAGGAGTAATGAACCGTATCAACCGCCTCGCCCTTATAAGGTGAAGCCTGTTCTATTTTTCTTTTGCTAGTATGATACTGCTTGCAAATCCTGATCAGACATATGGTGTCTGACTTATTGGGTTTGGTGGTATCTGGTATGTGTGGCTTTTAATAAGTACTCCAGTCCTTCTCCGGTAAGTCTCCTCTTGAATTTTGAAGTTCGTTATATCTCTTCTCTGTAATATTTCAGGCAGTGCCTCATTCGCGTAGGGAAACTAATGACATGCTTAATGATGAAACATTTGGTTCTTCCGAATACACAAGTGAGGATAGAGCAGAGGAGGAAAGAAAGAGAAGAGGTAACATCTCTGTTTCAATGGGATTTATATGGAAGAGCAAATAATTCGACTTTGCTTCTATCTTAGCAATAAGTTGCCTTCAACGAATGCAAGTTTAACATATCATGTCCTTTCAGCTTCTTTTGAATCAATGAGGAAAGAACAACATAAAGCTTTTCAAGAAAAGCAAAAACTGAATCCAGAGAAGTCTAAAGGTGAATTTGATATTGTGGAGTTACTGGAGGATTCAAAAGATGATAAAAGACTTTTGAATAGAAGCAATGAATCAGAGAAGAAAGTAGCACAGCCTATGGCAATTAATGATCCCAATAAGATTCCCTATGCCTCACAAGCTCCTGTATCAAGACCTCTTGTGCCTCCGGGATTTTCAAGCACCATAGCTGAGAAGAGTACTGGAACAAAATTTTTAACCAATCCACATCCTTCTGAGGTGATTCTCTCATATTTTCTCAAATATATATGCATTGAAATGTTGCCTGGTCAGAATACTATTTCATATCTATTTCCTCAAGATTATTTTTAAAAATTAGGTTCAGGCTCCTCCCGGTACATGGAGAATGAGTTTTATGATGTTTTCTTTCTGGAGCAATATTCTATATTCAAACCTCTTCACCACTGTTTGAGAGATTATCTAACACACCATAAACATTCAAGTGCCTATCATATGGACTTGCATTGTTAATCTGTGTATCATAGTGTTGTCATCACATAATCTTCCTCTACTCCAATTAAGCACAAGAATATGGCATTGCTAATATATCACATGAATACGTGGTCATCTTGTTTGTGCTGCTTGTGAAAATTGTTAGGAAGTCTCTTGGCTGTAGCTGAAGACATTTGCATCGCCAATTGTTGCTTGATTTGTCTCTTTTACTTTTCTCTTTTTTGTTTTTAAATGATATATAGCCATTTACTTGTTTGTCCCTCACTGATTCTGGTGTAGATCTTATTTATATAGTTACTTTGCATTATAATATTTGGTACTGACAAAGTTAAAAAATATTATCAAAATCCACAGATATCACTTACAGGCAGAGGTTACGTTTTCAGTTGAGGCATCCTTAGGTGAATTTATTTTTAGGTTTTTGATTTCTCCTCGGATTTTGTGGGCTCGAAAACCTTTTAGTATCTAGGCCAATACTTGATGTGTGTAATATATAATGCTTGTGTGCGGGTGTGCGTGTTTCATTAATAAGAATGATCGTTTCATTTAACATCATTGGTCTTAGTCTTTTAAGAGTAAGATTAATGGCAGTGAAATGTGAACGGATGTTGGTGATAGTATTATGTTGCCATGATTTGTCTGTGTTTTGAGATTCATTCTCTAATTATGATTTGTATGTGATGTTTGAGTCTAATTGTTTGTTAATAAATCATCACGTTTTATTAACTGTTCTTTTATTGATTTACTATATAGGTTGGCAATGAACTTGATGTAAGCCTTTTGCAAGCTAAAGGTACTCGTGTTTTAGATGGGACTTCAAATAATCAAGATGGAAAACAATCTTCAGAGGAAATGGATTTGAATGTGCAGCTTCCTAGAAGCCCAAATGCTTGTGTTTCCGTTGATAACAAGTGCGAAAAGATTGTGAATTTAGCATCAGCTTTGGATGTTTCAAGTAAAAGAATTGGCTCTAAGACTTCTAATCTTTCAGAATCCTTTATGGCTTCTGAAAATAGTGAATCAATAGATCTTGATTCTAGGGATGTGCCAGGGAATAAAAATGTTGGTGTATCCGGTTCATCCCAGTCAACCTCAATTCTGGACAAGCTTTTTGGCAGTGCCTTAACACTAAATGGTACTGGTTCCTCTAGTTTCATTGAGGTAACTCTCTCTCTCTCTCTCTCTCTCTCTCTCTCTCTCTCTCTCTCTCTCTCGATGCACACGTTCATAATCACTTCTTTTTTAAATTCTGTTTTGCTCAATTCCTCTGTTGGTGCTAATTTCAAGTGCTTACCCGAATTATGTTTATTCAATTTTGAGAATCCAAAGCTATCTTCAAAAAAGCTGTACATGGAAATGAAAGCTGGTATCATTTATAATTGTTTCCCAAGATCTACCATCGATAACTGAACATTTGTCTTCCAAGGTTCCTGGTTTTATGCTCACCAGAGTTTTGGATAAGTTTTCAAAAGGTTTAGCAAGAATACATCATATCTTAGCATCTTTCATAAAGCTTATAGCAGTAACATGAAAAGTTATGATGAAATTGCGATGAAGATCGTGTTACACAAGCCTCATGAAAATTTTTCTGTGCAAAAGTAAAATTCCAGCCTTGCCAAAACAATAATAACTCTGTAATTTTGCTGTCCGCAATAAGATTCTTCACCTTAATCCCAATAAAAAAGGTACAGAAGTTGAAGGAAGATTTTGGTTGAAACATCAAAAGCTATGGTGATGTTACAATGAAGCATGTGTCATACAAGTCACATGGAAAGTTCTGCTGTGCAGAAGTAAAAATTCCATCCTCGCTATAATAAGAAAACTCTCTATATTTGCTCTGTGTGTTAATATTCATCACTCTTATCCCCATAAAAAAGGTACAGAAATTGAATACTATTGACTTGGGTGGATGAACTTCACTAATCCAAATGGATTTTCTCCTTCAGTTGCAACTGTATGGGTTAACATCAAGCTAATTTTCTTCTTCCCAGCAAACGGATTTGTTGCTTCTGTTGTACTTGGAACAAGTGCTTTTTGTAGTAGCATTTTGTGTTAAAGTTTAGAGCATGAAATGGCAGACTCTTTTAAATATCATTTGTTGTTGTTTCAGCATCATGATGTTAAAGCAGATGACTCATGGAGCCCTCAGACTGGTCAGTCTTCCAAGTTTGCTCAGTGGTTTAGTGAAGAAGGTATAAGGACAATTCGTTCATTTTTGTTTCAGTTGGTGTATGTGGTACACCATTCACAATTGCTCTTAGCGTTTAACTTGTATTACTGAAGTCTAAATTTTTCATCTTTTCTTTCTCCTGAAGCAGAAAAGAAATCGGTTGACAATCTCCAATCTGGCAGGCCAAATGATTTGCTCTCACTAATTGTTGGTGGTGAAAAAGGTGGATCTCAGGTTAAAGCTACAGATCACATGCTGCCAACCTTTCCCTTCCAAAGCTCTGAACTTGCAGACAGGCATTTGACATTAAATCTAAAGTCTGGCAGTGTTGAAAATAGTGAGAAGTTGTCCAACACTGATAAACTGGATGCAGTTCCAGCTGTACTTACATGTGAAGACCTTGAACAATCTATTCTGTCAGAAATTTCTGAAAATGGTTCAACTTTGCCGCCACCTGTGCATGGCCAGAGAGGTGGTGACATTAAGGCTGAGCAGCAGAAAGCTGATGTTCATGCATCCCATCACCTTCTTTCGTTGTTACAGAAGGGTACTGCCCTGAATAATGTAGCACCGTCTGCCAATCTAGGGATCAGTGCCGCAGACAGACTACAAAATAATGAAGTGGCAAATCTAAGCAATGCAGCTCGCAAGCCAAGAGATGCAGATGCTGAAAACGTTCCCAATTCAGGGAAGGCTTTGACTCTTGAAACACTTTTTGGAACTGCTTTCATGAAGGAATTACAACCAGTAGGAGCACCTGTTTCGAGCCAAAGGGGTTCGGCTGGATATGCCAGAGGCGATGGTTCAGAGTCTCATGGGCTACCCATACCTGCAATAGATGATGGTCTCCTTCCTCCAACTGTTGAAAGTCCGCCGAGCATGTCAAATCATGGAAGTGGTGTCTTAGCATCAAAGCAAAGACAGCAACTTGTATTGGATAGGACTGAAGAGCATTTGTTAGGCTTTGATCCTCAAAATGAAGTGGATTCATCACATCTTCAAACTGAATTGGGCTCTAAGCTTGTTGGCTTTGATGGGTCTGTTGAAATTCGACTTCCCGAAGAGGATAGCTTGCTTGCAGCCAATGCCCCTCTGAATCTCCGAAACTTTCTCCTTGCTAGGAATTCAGCTAAATCTGAGTTATTACCAACTCCAGGGACATCAGTTGATATAGCTGAGAAACTTGCAGCTTTGAATTCTGGATTCAGGGATGAAAGGCCTATTGTAGGTCAAGAAGGTCAGCCTTTTCTTCGAGGTCCTTATGATTTGAGGGAGCCTGATGTTCAGTATCATAATCTCCATGTCCAGTCATCTTCTCCCCAGCTTCACCCCCTCAGTTGAATCATCCAGGGCCAATGTTCCATCCATTAGATTCTCATCCTGCTAATATGAATGCTCAGGTGAAATTAGTGGCCCAAGAGAACATTCATCATGATAGTCCCATTCATCAATTCCCAGCAAATATGCTACACCCCCTTTCCATCACCCTAGCAGTGCGCTGACTGGATTTGATCCCACTACACACAATTCTATGTTACAACAAATGCAAATGCATGGCAATTTTCCTCGTCCCCTCCTACGACGTGAATTGTCCAGGGGTGCACCTCTGCCTCCACATCCCAACAATCAGGTGACTGGTTTTATGCAGGAATCAAATCCAGTGCAAGGTTTCCCTTTTGGTCAAAGGCAGCCCAACTTTGGTGCCCTTGGAATCCCACCTCAAGGTATAGCACTCCGCATGTAGCTGGTTCCTTTCTGCCTTTCTAACTGTCAAACCTTTTATTTAACAGGTCCCTCCTTTTCCGTGGGTTCCTCACTCTAATATAATTTGAGGATTTTTTGTTGCACAAATTTTTATACAGTTCCACTTAACAGTGGTAATTGTTGCTATAATTACTTTGTCGTCCTAATTGGTTGATTTAAAACTGTGATGAAATTTCATCTTTGTTTTCCTATTTGGAGTCTCAGAAAACTATGCGGACAGACTGTGGCTATATAATTCCGTCCTTAAATTAGATTTGATATATAATGTATACTCCTGCTCATGCATTTGGTATTATTGCTCGGCATTTGGTAGTGTTCAAGGTACAAGTTTTTTAGTTGTCATGTTAGTACGTCTGCCATTACTTTCATCTGATTCTTCTTCTCAATGAATGTGCAGCTGTCGATGTTGGTGGTGAAAGCAGTCATCCGGAGGCACTCCAAAGGCTGATCGAGATGGAACTCAGGTCAAACTCTAAGCAAATTCACCCTTTTGCTACCCCAGGCCACGGTCCAGGGATATACGGTCACGAGCTAGACATGGGTTTTGGATATAGATAATGCGTCTTGACTGTGGTTGTGTGGCGAGCATGATCATATGCTTCGATCCACATGGCATGGTGAATGAGTTTGATACGCGTTTTCGGATTGCCTGTGATTGGATGTAATTAATGGACTCGACTGGAAATTGGCATGTAGCTGGGACTTCTGCTTTACTTGTTTCATATTTGAAAATACCTCTCCCTTCGTTTGATAAAGTACATAATTAAAAAAAAAAAATTAAAAAACAAGTATATAATGTATCAAGAAGCCCTGGCTCAAGTCGTGGTTGAGGTCTTAAATAAGGTTGGAATTAAAACGACATTTAGTAGAGAATTAAGATCAGCAATGAAGAATTTGTAAAATCAAGTCCTCTTTAACCATCATAGGTTCTCGACCAGGCTGCTAGGAATTGGAAACACCCTCTCTAGATCAAGACACTTTCTCAGTCATTGCAGAATGGTAGAACAAAAATCCTGCGAAATCCAATGCAAGTTCGAAGTCGTGGCTCTTGTTTTCGTATACCAGTTAAAGGATTGATAATGGCGTTCCATCTATTTACAGTAGCCCTTCACATCAACTAGCACAATACAATCGTTACCCTATTAGTTGAATGCCTTCATAAATTAGTGGAGTGGTATCATCACCAACCTAGCAGTTACTCCATGTTCCTACTTACCTAGAAACTAAAGGATTCAGTTCGAGCTAAAAGATGGCATTTGAACAGAAGGCACTCTTTCACCGCTTGAAGACCAGGCTGAAGTCAAGTGAGAGGAAGAGTATAGCTTTTTAGGTCCCTTTTTTTCAATTGCCGACTCGCTCTGTTGTTGCATTTTTCTAGCAGTCATCCATAGAAATCAACGGATATTTATTGAGGGTGAACCCTTAACAAAGAAGATTTTGAAGAAGATTTAGAGGAGGAGGAGAAGAACAAGAAAAATAAGAAGATTGGGAAGGGAAGTTTATTTTGATTTCTTATCTTCACTGAATGAATACAATTTTCGTTTTTCCTTCTCTTTATATGGCTACTAACCATTATTGTAACTACTACTAATGCTAGCTCACCATTCAGTTACACTAACTGAATGCCGCATTAGCTTAGTTCATTAACTACTAACTTTATCTCTAACCGTAATTATAAAAGTAGTAACTCAAACCCTAGCAATTCATGACATTGCCCTCTCCTTCAAAAGATCCTTGTCCTCAATGATCGAAGCAAAAGTTAGGGAATTGGATTTCCATGTCCTCCAAGACCTCCCACATAGCATCCTCTTTAGACAAACTAGTCTATTGAATCAGTCGCATAACAACTACTTTTTTGTCCTTCTTCATTCTCTCTTTGTCCACTACTGCAACAGGAGTAGGATTCATATGACCTTCTATATCAATGGGAGGGAGTGAAATAGAGATAACAACATAATCTCCCATCCTTTCCTTCAACAATGAGACACGAAACACAGGATGAATAAAAGCATCTCTTGGCAAGTCCAATTTGTATGCCAGTTGATCAATCCTTTTGCAGGATGGTATAGGAGCCAAAGTACCTGAAATTCAATTTAAAATTCTAATGCAATGCTACACTAACTTGCCTATAAGGTTGGAGCTTCAAATAAACTTTGTTTCCCACAGCAAACCCTTTTCTCAGTCCTCTTATGAATAACCGTTTACTTCATGCGATGCTGAACTTGTTTCAATTGAGCTCTCAAAAATAAGTCCATAGCTCTTCTTTTCCATCCCAATTTAGTGACAGTAGCAATTGTGGTAGAACCCTGAATAGTTACTCCTCGATAATAGGTGGATAACCATATAAGGCCTGAAATGGTGTCATTTGGATGGCAGAATGGAAGTTAGTGTTGTACCACCACTAAGCTAAATGCAACCATTGTTTTCACTTCTTTGGGCAACCAATACATATACACCTTAAGTAAATTTTCAAGTATAGATTCAATTTTTCAGTTTGGCCATCTGTTTGGGGATGATAAGCTGAACTCTTGAGGAGTTTAACACCTAATGATCGAAACAACTCCTTCCAAAAAGTGCATGTGAACACTTCATCCCTGTCAGTGACAATGGAAGCTGGTAAACCGTAGGACATGTAAACATGCTCCATGAAAGTCTTTGCAACATCCTCAGCTGAAAAGGAATAGGACAAAGCTAGGAAGTGTCTATACTTGGTAAATCTATTCACGACTTCCATAATATTATCCTTGCCCTTTGACTTGGATAATCCTTCCACAAATTCCATAGAAATATCCCTTCATGCTCTTCCAGGAATAGGCAAAAGTTGTAACAAACCAGGGTAAGCTACCCTTTCGAACTTAGCTCTCATGCATACATCACATTCCTCTACCTTGGTTTTTATCATTGAATTCATGGCTAGCCAGTAAAAGACACCTTTAAGCTTTCTGTAAGAATTAGGTACCCGTGTATGACAACCCTGATGCAGATCATTTGGGAAAGATGGTGAGCTGGATAGTAAGAGCTAACATGGCTAACTAATGGCAATGAGCTGGCAAATGGGTAGTTAGTTTGTCACGGGTTGTTAGTAATTAGTTAATACTTAGTTGGTTGATTAGTCAGTTGTTTAAGAATAAAAGAGGAGCGAATGAATGTGGGAAATCAGTTGGTTAACAAACTAGAATTTCTCCCTTCTGCTCTATGCTTCTTTCTCTGTAATTTCCTCTACCTTCCTTCTGTATTTCATTCAATTCATCACTTGTTCTTCTTCTTCTGGAAATTGAGTCGCATCAATTGGTATTAGAGCAAGTCTTGGCACCTGTGGAGTGCTGAATTTTGGTATCAATGGTAGAAATCCTAATTAAATATTTCACCATTTCTGAGTTGAATGAGAGAAGCTATGTTCATAATCTTTGTTTTTGGTGTAATGGTGAATATCATGGAGAAGTCATTTGCAATAAGCCATTTTGGAGCCAAATCATTGTAACTGATGATGTTGGTAGAGCAATCCTTTTCTATTTGAAAAATAAAAAAACAAAAGAAAGTAATGAGTCATTGATAGTAGAGCCAAAGAATTCGATTTCCTTAATAAGACAACAATGGAGGAGTCAATTCACAGCATTCAAGAAAGACTTCAACAGAATCTTGAACTCTTGAAGCAGCCTGCAATCTTGGAGAATGAGGACACTCTTGAAAATAAGATTCTTGAGTCTTCAATTACTTTCACTAATCAAGAATCAGATGAGGAGGTCGATCTCTCCCAAGACATGCAATATTGGGAAGCATTGTTTGATTCAAAGAAACACTTCATAAACCTTATGCTGGCATTTTTTACTACATCTGATGGAATTGTGGTAGAAAATTTGATTGTAAGATTTCTAAATGATGTTCAAATTCCAAAGGCTTTTTATGTTAGCTTTAATCCGGGAGGCTTGGCTTGAGTGAGCTTCTAGTAGAAATGTTTATAGGCCAAATTTTCATACTTTAAACCTTGAGGACATGGTTTCTTAAGAGGGGAGTATTGATGCAGATCATTTGGGGAAGATGGTGAGCTGGACAGTAAGAGCTAACATGGCTAACTAATGGCAATGAGCTGGCAAGAAAGTTGTGGAGCTAGCAAATGGGTAGTTAGTTTGTTACGGGTTGTTAGTAATTAGTTAGCAATTAGTTGGTTGATTAGTCAGTTGTTTAGGAATAAAAAAGGAGTGAATGAATGTGGGAAATCAGTTGGTTAGCAAACTGGAATTTCTCCCTTCTGCTCTCTTCTTCTTTCTTTGCAATTTCTTCTACCTTCCTTCTGTATTTCTTCCAATTCTTTATAGATTCATTCAATTCATCACTTGTTCTTTTGGAAATTGAGTCGCATCAAACCCACAGCTGAACTATGAGCAGCCAACAATAATATCTTCCTCCTACAATGCCTTAGCTATCATAACCTCATGTGCCTTTGGGTCCTGTTCATATGATGCAATGATGTCAATAGTTATAGTACAGAAACTTCCTCTAGGTTGTGTATTTAAACCTGCCACTCTCCTAGACAATGCATATGCCACTGTGTTATCTTTTCCTCTTTTGTACTGAATTTCTAATCTCAATACAAGGAGTTTAGTGAGTCCTTTGCATTTAATTAGAGTATGAATTGGCTGATCTAAGAGATGTTTACTCTCATGGTCAGTTTTAATAACGAATCTATCAGCTCCCAAATAATGCCTCTATTTATCCACTACCATCAAAATTGCTAAGTGCTTTTTCTTATAGATTGACATGCCTTGATGTTTTAAACATAGTGTCTTCCTGAAGAAAGGTAAGGGCCACTCCTCATGAGACAAAACAGCTCCTACCCCACCATCACAAGCATCTGTTTCTAGCACAAATGGTATGTGGAAATTAGGCAAAGCTAGCATATTAGCCTCACAAAACATAGTTTTTAATTGCTCAAAGGCTTGTTGAACTTTTTCATTCTATTGGAAGCCAATTTTTTTCAATAGTGTAGTTAAGGGTTTACTAACCACATCATAATTTCGAATGGACCTCCTGTATTAGACTGCTAATCCCAGAAAAGAATTGGCCAACTACTAATAGGTTTTATCTTTTTAGGGTCAGTGGCTACACCAGCTCCAAAAATAACGTGGCTTAAATATTCCATATAAGTTTGGCAAAATGTGCACTTGGACCTCCTGGCAAACAATTTATTTTGCAACAAAACTTCCAACACTCTGGCAAGATGTTTAATATGTGACTCCAATGTAGGACTATATACTAAGATGTCATTGAAAAATACAAGGGCGAACTTCCTTAAATATGGCTCCAACGCTGAGTTCATCATAGTCTGAAACGTTGCAGGGGCATTAGTCAACCTGAAGGACATCACTCGAAATTCATAGTGCTCTTGATAAGTTCTAAAGGTTATTTTCTCTATATATATATATGTCTTATTCATCCTCACTTTGTGATATTCAGACCTTAGATTGATTTTGGAAAAGAAGTGGGAACTCTGCAACTCATCTAATAAGTCATCAATCAAGGGAATAGGAAATTTGTTCTTGATGGTGATGTTGTTGAGTTGTCAATAATCCACAGAAAACCTCTCTAAGTCCCTCTTTCTTCTTGACCAACAGCACAGGAGATGCAAATGGACTGCAGCTTGGTTGAATAATTCCCTTTTATAGCATTTCTTTAACCAGCTTTTCAATTTTCTCCTTCTATATATATACAAACTCTTGTAAGGTTGAATATTTAAAGGTTTGGCAGCAGGTACTGGTGGAATTTTGTGATCAAATCTCCTCACTGGTGGTAGTGCTTTTGGTATAGTGAATACTTCTTCATATTTGAGCAGTAAAGCTCTTATCTCCTTATTAGCCACTTCTGTTGGTTCAACATCAGCTGTTATAGAGAACATTTGTCACACTAATCCATAGACTGTTGAACTTAGAATTTTATGCAATTTAGCTACTATCATTTGTTGTAATTTAGCTTCTTCTGTAGTGCCTTTTAACTTAATCCTCATGCCACATTTCTTAAAGAACAGTTTCATGTCAATAAAGTCAAACAACACGAGTGAGGACATTTGCAGCCAATCAACCCTAAACACTATATCACAACCCCCTCCCAATTATAATATCCTTAAATAAGATTTGAACTCATGCCCTTGCATAAACCAAACTAATCCTGGACTCCTAGCCGAACACTTCATTATATCCCCATTAGCAACTGTGACATAGAGGGGAGTAGTGTGTTCAATCATAGCCTTAGTCTTTTTCACAATCTTGACATCAATAAAGCTATGTGTACTGCCACTATCAATCAAGATAGTAATCTCTTTTTGTAAGCAATTATCCTTAATATTGATAGCATTATTAGCATACTTAGCAGCGAAAACAATGAATGACAACCCACATTCCTCATAAACATTACCTTCTAACCTACCATCGACTTCATTCCCATCTTCCACATCTAAAAATTCCCCAACCATCCCTTCATTCCTTTCTAACATATTCAATGACTTCCTGGCACATTAGTGGCCAAGGGTATATTTGTTCCCACACCTAAAACATAGCCTTATTTTTCGTCTCTGATCATACAAAGTTTCATATTGTTGTTGTGTCTTTGGAAAGATGGGGTTAAAAGGCCTAAGAGTGTATAGGAAGCTCATTTCTAGTGGTAAGAATGTAAGGTTTGGTAGGGACGTAGGATTTGTGAGTTTGATTTAGTTGGTTTGTGTAAGGTTTAGTTGTATTTTAAGAGGAGAGAGTTTTTAAGAGTTTGTCTGGCATTTCTGGACATGGTTGTAGTAGTTTCCTCCTGCCATTTTGCTTGATTGAAAGCTTGGATTAAGGTGGTAGGTTGTAGGATTTTTAACATAGGCTTACTATCTTCTCTAAAGCCAATAATGAAGCTAGAGATGAAGTAAGACTCAGGTAGGTGTGGATTACTCACAATCATCAATGACTTGAATTCCTCAAATCTTTTCACATATTCTTCCACCTCCTTCTCCTGAATTAGCTTATTAAATTCCTCTACTACATCCTACTACCAAACCTCTTATACAGTTCTCTCACAAATTCCTCCCAATTACCCAAATCATTTCCTATCACAAAACCTTCAAACTAAATTTTAATCCGTCCTTTCAAATACATTGGTGAACAAGAATAAAATTTATCTTAAAAACCTAACCACGTGGATCTCCCAACACACTTGGTCCTTGTTTGATCTTTGAGATCAATTTTTTTAAGATTTTCCCTTAACAAAGAAGATTTTGAAGTAGATTTAGAGAAGAAAAAGATTGGAAAAGAGAAGTCTATTTTGATTTGTTATCCACTGAATGAATACAATTCCAGTTTTTCCTTCTCTTTACATGGTTAGTAACTATTACTGTAATCGACTACTAATGCTAGCTCACCATTCAGTTAAACTAACTAAATACCACATCATCGAACAGTAACTATCCTATTCTGGGGCTGTTTCTCTAATGGACTTAAACAAAACTCCATAAAACTCCATAACAGCACAAACAGGCGTACCAACACATGCCACCACACGGACAGACGCTTAAAGTCGAGCTAGTGTCACGTATTAGAAAGGGCAAGGGCAGAGTTTGTTAATGATTCGTTTATTATTTGTACAACGTTTCCACTTCATATTGATTCGTCAATACACATTACAATACACAGCTCCTAAATACTGCTCCCGCAAACAAAAACCTCAAGAAACCTAAAATAGTACACAGTAAAAAACACGCTCAAAACTCTATACAAGATAGCCCTTAGGACATAAAAGTTGAGATAAAACTGTCCTACATTCCTAAGAAGCAACCGGTACATGTATATATACACACAAGTGACAATACACTACAAACTGACAGACCTAGGAAGAGCATGTGCTATATTATATATACAACACATGCATATATACAGATAAACTTCCTAGACACTTTCACTAATTAGTAATACCATCCACATAGCCTTCTCGTTCCCAGATTGGCATTTACGGTTTGGGGTCCACAACACAGGAAGTTCAATGAATTTTCATACCGTTCAAATAGCTGGAATGGGGTTCCCCAATTTACCAACACTGGTATTGCTGTAAGAATCACCCTTGCTCGCCTTCTCAGAGTCAACGTCATATGACGCAAGCAACCTTCTCTGCATGTATTTCATTGGAGTTGACAATGAGCAAAGGCATGATAACTGAAAACCATTCCACTTATATGTCATGGTAAATGTTAAAATGGATAATGATAAAAGCAGCAGCAGATAAAGAGAGATTGCAACAGGCTATCTAGAGACCCAATTGGCGATATCATGTCATATAGTTACTGGTTGAGCACCACAGGAGAGTTGACAATCAATGGAAATAGAAAATATCTATACCTAAGCAAGGAATAATGGAACTCTTTTTTGAGTTCAGACAAGAATAAACCATAATTTTCATCCATCGAAGAACAATTAGAACTCTTTGGATCATCCTTGGACTAATGATTAATAAACAGAACCAATTGCGGTGTGCGGTAGTACAAATATGAATTAAAAAACATCATGCACATGATTTATACATGAACAGTAGGTAAGCATGAATATTGAGTCTGATCTCATGCAAATAGGCCCCATAATACTGAATTTCAGGTGTAGTAGGTGCATCACAGGCGAATGTCACAAAAACAACATGGCTAAAGAAAGTAAAAAGCTTAATTAGTGTTAAAAATGCTTACATGATCCTCGAATTCTGGACTTGTCAAATTGATGGAGAGGTTCCTCATCAACAACAATACCTAGGGAAAGCCAAATAAAATCCTGTGAGTAAGTTTGTCTTTCCAAGTGAGGAGGGAAACCAAAACCCGCAATTGTGATATACAGGAATGGAAATGATGCTAGAGACTGAGGGTCTCAGTGTTGCATGGAAAGTTTGCGAGAACAGATGACCTAGTCCCTCCCAATCAAAGCTAGAAACCAGGACTCTCCCTTGTGTAAGGGGATTTTCTTCAGAGAAATACAGGCAAAACCCATGATTTTTATATACAAACATCATGTATTTTCATGAAAAGTGTGTAGAGAAAAGACAGAATGCATAGCCACTTCCACTCTCTTCATAAGAAGCATGATTTTTTATAAGTTCAATCACCTACTCACCCCAACCGATGTACTCAACCCAACATGCATTGTGAGAAATCATGAAGGCCTAAGACAAAAGAACGACTTACTGTTTCCAAGTCCATTGGGTCCATCTGCTTTAATCTCTGCAAGTGACCTCTGCCATTGGGGTCAAATACACTTCCAATAAAGCTGTATACTTGAGCAAAGTCTGGTATAACTGCATTTTGAACAGCGAAAATGCATCATGCATAGGATACAAGAAGATTTACCAACAGATGTAGATGATGCACACAATTCATAACAACTACAAGTCCAGTTGTATATAAGGTAAAAGAGAGCTTCAGATCGATGAGATAGAAATCAAGAAAGCACATTGTCCAAAGCACCAGGGAAGCTTGGCATGGCTGACACAGACCTACTTGACAGAGGTATTATCCATGAATGCTTTATGATGCAAAATGAAAAGCTAATTGTCAGTTTTATACAGCACGAGTATCGTTATAATTGTTGACCTACAGAGGATGTTAAGATTTGGCAAAAGAAGAAAGGATGGTACAGAAAAACTGGCTAGCAACAATGACTGAAAAGAGAGAGACTCGCCTAACATAACCCTTTTCCATTCATAAGATGATTGAGAAAAAAAAAAAAAACTGCTATTACAAAACCATCAACAAATTCCAAATGTGAAACTTCCTTTTTACTCCACTAAAACAGCTAAAACACTTTCAACACTATTTGAAGACCAAGACACATGATATGCCGACCGCTAGAATTGATGTGTAATGAAAGAGAAGGGAGAGAAGATGTTCAGTTTTCATGTTGAATGGACAGAAAGGCATGATTAAAGCTTAAATGCACTTGGTTGGTAAGTCATAGTTTAGAAAGACAAAAGGTTTTTTAAAAAAAAAATGCCCATCATTTTCCAGCTATATCTGCAGCTCAACTTCAAATTAGAAACACGATACTGACCTCTCGCTGGCTTGCCCTGATCCTGTCTATCGTTTATTTTTCCAGTATGCCAAGTACTTGGGGTGCTTTCATTACTGCTACTGTAGCAACATTTATTTGCAATTGTTGGTCCCGCCAATCCCTCATCATCTGAGAAAACACAGATGATTGAAAGTTTTACTTTAATAACTCTAGCTCCTGAAGAAGCAAAGAAAAAAGGAAGGGGGAAAGAGAGCTATAAAAAATTAACACCTGTAGCCATCTGTGGCATGCTGACTGGTGGTACAGAATTAAAATTCCAGGTAGATAAAGCTCCACTGGTAATTGGATTCCCGAGAGCTGATGTCGAATCTGGCCCGTGGAGATATCCAGGTTCAAGCAAACCAGATGAAGATTGACATGGCCCAGTCACTTGGGATGCAACCGCAGCTGTTAGAAATACACAAACAAACAAAGGTTAATCCAGAATTAGAGGCATTCAATCCACATCATCCTCCTGCCCTCTCAAAGTCTTAACACAAAGTCTGAACAAACTAACCACTTTTGGGAGCCTTTTGCGGGTAAGGATGAGCTGCTTTTCTCTTTGGCCGAGGTGGAGGTACATGTTCACTTGTTCCACTCTTCTGAACCTTCAGAAAGTACTTCTGTGCATGACTCCGTATCTGGCAAGAACATCCGTTAAATTTTCCATGTAAACATTTTGATGTGGACTTGTGGTTTACTGGTGTGACTACATTCAAATACACCCATACAGACACAAAATCACACGAAAACAATAGAATAATGACATTGACCAGAAGCCAAAAGTCCCTCTAATCATGTTGGTGTATCAAGACTGAAAGTAAAAGTACATCAGGTACCAATAATATACCACATCATAAGGACATCTCTTAAGTACTCTCATAAATATGCAGTTTCAAGGTTCTTTGAACAACTGCTATCATTAAAATGAAACCACCTTTACCATTACACAAACTTAAGCCTATGCACAAAAGATAGGTGTTATGCCTTTCACTAACAAATTTGTTCAAGTCTGATTATGCAATGGAACCTAATAAGCATATACTGCAAAATATATCACATGGGAAATGAGGATAATATGGAAGGAACATCGAACCCAAAGTGCGAATTAACCTGTCACTTAAGTATTTGCAACATTCTAAACAACCAAGATATACAAATAATAATCATGCAATGCTAACAAGGACCATTGCTTAAAAGTGACCAAGGTTTTGAGCTTGTTATCACAAGGAGTAATCACTGTGAAAAAATACTTATAAAGGGTAGGACTGTAAACTAATTCTCCCTCTAGGACCCTATTTTGGTGTAAAATACTAGGTAAGTGCCTCATCGTAAAATGCTTAAAGAAGATAGATTTGACTATTTAAGATACCTGTATGACAGTCTTTGACCCGACAAATGCTTCGATCTTCTTCCAATCACGATCAAATCTGTAACCAGAAGAAATTTTAGGTTAGGACACAGTTTATTAACGGACGAATCAGAAAGCATGCTTTGCACGCACACAGTGACAGATAATCTCATAAAAAGTTTCATCATATAGTCGACAAACAGAATAACACTATTTTAGTTATTTAGATCAAAACAAAAGTTTTAGAAGTTTGAATGTTAGGCTTTCCAGTCACATCTTGACGAACAAGATAAACTGAATTGCTTTAATTATCTGAACAAAAAATAACATTTTTACCAAAATAAGTAGTAAGATTCAATATCTTTCACTTTTATTGCTCTCTGCATATTTCTTCAGCAACCAACAATCTTCTCACTTCTGCATCAAACACTAAGCTCCCGTTTCAAAAAATAAATTAAAAAAAAAAGGAATTCATTAACGCAAGTTTACACTACAAAGCAAACTCAAATTACCAAAATTTCTATACCACTCAGTAACCACAAATATAGGTACACTTTATTCCCTCAGCTTGTTATTCAAATTCTCTCATTTAACCAATCACCAGAGTCCCGGATTCAAAATCCAAACTATAATCAAAATGAAGAAAATAATTAAAAACCCAAATTATTGTTCCAATCATTAACGTCAAACTGAAAAACCCTTTAATATATTTTTTTTAATTGAAATTCTCTCATTTAGCTGAAATTTTCTCAATTAAGTGAAATTAAATCCAAATTCTCTTTTCTTGCCACCAAGTAAAACACAAAAACTCAAAACCATCACCAAATAAATAAGAAGTTTTAAAAAGGAGGAGTATACTAATACTTACAATTGAAGAGCTTCTAAAAACTTGTCATGCTCCTGTTCAGTCCAGCTCTCTCTAGACTTAGTAATAGTGTAAGGTTTCCGGATCTTCTTATTCGGATCCTCCAAGAACGACATCACCGTATTATTCTTGTTACTAGAATTAGCATTCGCCGTTGAAACTGTATTAGTAGCAGTAGCAGTAGCAGTAGCAGTAGCATTAGCAGTATTAGCATTAGTTGGTGTTGTTGGTGGTGGCAGAGAATTGACACCGGGTAGCCCCATATTACTATTATTCATGGGATCGAAGAAATAAAACCCTGGAGCCGGATTCGGGTTAACTGACACCATTGAAAGAAAACAAAAACCGACTCTGTTTTACTTCCGGGTTAGCTTCTTTCCGGGTGGTCTGGTTTTCTGTTAAGGTTTTCGGACTGTGTTCTATTCTGCAGAAGCGAGGAACAGTTGCGTGGGTTTTTGGTTAAGGTCGGGAGTGTTCTGTTTTGTCAGAAGAAGGAAAGCAAGAGAGACAAAAAAATGAAGAATAGATGTGTGGTTTATGAACGTTGAGATTTTGGGTTTTTATTTTATTTTTTTAGGGAATTAGTGAGAGAGAGAGAGTGTGTGCGTGTGCGTGTGTGTGTGTGATGGTGACGGTGGTGGTGGTGGGGGTGGCCGGGTGGGGCTCGTAGGCTTGGAAATGATCGTACACGTGGCAGCATTCTGTTGTCTAGATCGAGAGGTGGGGTTTCATAATCTGTGGACTCGGCAAGTGGCAATTTGTGTTACTGTTATGTGAGTGTGTGTTTTTACTGCGGGGAAAGTGACCTTCGGGTAACCGAAACAAGTCAAAAGTCGGTTGGTGCTTGAAACTAGCAGTAGAAGAATCGAAGACTTTGTTGGTTTTTATAGTTGGAATTTCAATTTTTTTTTTTTTTTTTAACAGAATTCGAAACTCTACACTATTTTTCCTTTCATTCTTTGGTGCTTACATATATCAGTAAAATGTAATAGTTATTTACTATATCTTTTTTTCACCACCCAAAAAAAAAAAAAAAAAAGGGGGTCACAATAGCTGCAGCAACATAGTGTGGAGCAATAGTTGAAAATTTTGAAATTCATTAAACCATCCTTTATTCTCTTTCATTAGCTTCTTCCTCTTACTTACAAGACCCATTTTTATTCAACTATACAGTAGTGAATTCTGAAACCCCGTGACGTGATTGTTTCTTCTCTCCTTTCGGTATTGTATTTTCCTCTCTTTTTTTTTCTTTTTTCTTTTTAATTTTCAAACGTTGCAAAGATAAGATCACAAACCCCAACCCCAAAAAAAACCCAAACACACACACCAAAAAAAAAAAAAAAAAAAACTTCAATTATAGTAGTAATTCCTTAATTACGCTGAAACACTTTACATCGTGGCAGTATGATGGAACCATAAAATATAGTAGGAGTAATTCGAGCATCTTCGACCAATGGTTAGGATGATGACACGTGTGGACCTCGGCGGAAGAAACTCTTGCACCCTTCATAGGAGACACCGGAAAAGGCTGAATTTGAAAGTTCTAGTTCGTTCCAGACAGACACACTTGGGGCTTGCGGTAGTCAGCTTGTCTGTTTGAAGCATCTTGCCTTTTCGTTTAGCTATTTATTTACTAGTTGGATGTATGTGTTACGCTACGAATAAATAACTATTATATATATATAAGGTTAATAATTCACATGATATAATATAAGTAGAAAATTTTATTTTTGATGATTAATATAAATCAAATCTATATATAGTTAATTTCTAACGAAACTATATATATATAACGATTCAGAATATATAGAAAAAAAACCTAAATTGTAGAAATATATTGAAGTCAATAGATTAAAATAAAAACTACAACGGAATTGGTTCCGATAAATTATGAATAAATATATATAAAAAACAAATAAAAATTGTTAATTTTTTGAACTCGTTATTATTTTTTTTTAAAAAAAGAGCCAAACCAACTAAAACATACTTTTAACTCTCTCTCTCTCTCTCTCTCTCTCTCTCTCTCTCTATATATATATATATATATATATATATATATACACACACACACACACACACACACAACACTTATATAAAAATAATTTATTTTATAAATTATAATAATATATTTTTTAAAAAATAAAACATTGACGTTCTAAAATTTTATTCCAAAATTCATATATTAAAAAACCAAATTTATTAATAAATAAAATTAAAAAAATAATTTAATGAGAAATTTAATAAGAAACAAATAATTGAAGAAAAAATATTTTAAACAATAAGAATAAAATAATCGGATATGTATGTTAACATCAATATCAAATATATAATTAATATTGGTTCAAGGACATTAAAAGGACCAATAATACATATGTTTTCTTTCTCGATAAAGGGACCAATTATATATGACCGCTTAACCTATATATCACTTGTTGGATATCCCGTTATGTCATGGCAATATGTATATTCTTTTAAAGGTTTTCTTTTGTCTTTTAGTGATCAAATCCTAAAACACATCAAGATCTAAAATAATTAGCCAACTTTTCTTTTATTCTATCATAAGATTAGTGGTCAAACTTTTAAAAATATAAAATAATTATAGGAAGGAAAAACAAAAAACGAGGTCACGCCCGGTTGGTGTATATATTAACTTTTTTAAAAAAAATTGAGTCAAATTAATTTTTTAATTAATTATTATTTTAAAAAAATAAGTAAAATTATATAAAATACACTTTTAGCCTCTCTCCTTTGTCGAATTTATATATGCAATTATGCTACTCTCATTTAAAAATAAAATAAAAAATCAATCATATAAATTATAATAATATATTTTAAAAAATAAAACAATCAAGTTCTAAAATTTTATTTCAAAATCCATATATAAAAAATCAAATTTATTAACAAATAAAATTATATAAAATTAAAAAATTAATTCGATGAGAATTTTAATAAGAAAAAAAACAATTGAAGAAATAAAATTTAAACAATAAAAATAATAGAATCAGATATATATGTTTAAACTAAAATTTAAAAAAAATATTATATATATTCTATAACCATAAAACTATACGCAAAACTATATATAAAAAAACGATCTTTTTTATATTTTCATACCTAATTTCATGATAAAAAAAATATAAAAATAAATTATTAGAAGGAAAAAAAAAAACAATAAGGCAAGCTAGTTAGGACTACTTGTGCAGGCCTACTTGAGCCCACTTCTCAAGGCCATCCTTGTATATATATATATATATATATATAAAGGAATGCTTCTCTAGGCCACCACTGAAAAAAAAATAAATAAATAAAACACTACATTAAATGAACAAGGAAAATCTTAGTTCTTTTTTTTTTTTTAGAATAATTATAATATCTAAAACACAATTCTAGCTCTCTCATTCTCATCATAATTTATATATACAAAAAAAAAAAATATTTTCATTAAAAAATCAAAAAAATAATTAATCATATAAATTATAATAATATATTTTAATAAATAAAACAATCGAGTTCTAAAATTTTATTTCAAAAGCCATTATAAAAAAATCAAATTTATTAACAAATAAAATCACATAAAATTTAAAAATTAACTTGAAGAGAATTTTAATAAGAAACAAACAATTGAAGAAATAAACTTTAAATAATAAAAATAATATAATCAGATATATATGTTTAGACTAAAATTTTAAAAAATATCATATATATTCTATTACTTGTCAAACTATATGTAAAATAAAAAAAATAACCATATTTTTTTATATGTTTATCCCTAATTTCATGATAAAAAATATAAAAAAACAATTATTTATATAGAAGGGAAACAACTGTCATCTAATATTTAAATAAATAATTTATTAATAAATATTGTATTATTATACCAATATGTTTAAAATAATATTTAACTAATACAATATAATATTAATTTAATTATATGATATAATTATCTAATATATTATATTACTAAAATACTTATCAATTTTTATATATATTCAAATTCGTAAAATAATATATCAATATATTATTTATATCATAGTATAAAATAATAACAAAATATTATATTGTACAATAAATACAATATTCATAATCAAAATACGGATAACTATTTTGTAATAATTATTTGATATTTTTTGTAAAATATAATGATGATATATTATAATTATTAACTATAAATAATTTTATTATTTAAAAAAAATATATTTATAAAAAATAAGGACCTAAATAATATATTTGACCACATATAATAGTCCTACAAATATAGAAACTGAAAAAAAAAAACAAAAAAGCATTGCATAAATATAATATTCACAATCAAAATACAAATAACTATTTTATAATATTTTTTGATATTTTTTGTAAAATATGATGATAATGTATTATAATTGTAACGTCCTTAACCTAATTCCTTACAAAAACTTCGTATAACTTAGCCATTTTAGTTTTAGAAAACTCAATTAATCACAAAATATCACTTAGGATCGTTAAAACCTCATATTAGAAATATTAGGATTTTTTTTTTGGGCGATAGGTTACACGGCCGTGTACTTGCCCTTGTAACTTAAAACTCATTTTCCCTTGAAAATAGAAGGTTACACGGCCCTCCACACGGGCGTGTACCTTCCCGTGTACGTTTACGCCTAAAAAAATGGTTTTTCAGCCATAACACTTCAAACCTAATCAACAACATTCTTTCCACTTATAATCCTTGGATATTCAATCAAAACCACTTTTTCTTTGTTCATAAATACGTCACAAAACACCTCAAAGAGTTCATATTTACATAGTTATATATACAATTCAAAAATCTCCTAAGATGCATATGCTCGGCATAATGAGAGAGAGGAGAGGGAGATTGCCAGTCGACATCGTCACTCATGACGTGAATTGAACAACAAAAGATGACTTTAACTTCCACTTCTTGCTTCTTAGTACCTAAAAAGATAATTGCATTTTTAATGAGATGCTACTTAATGAGAGAACAATAATCCATTGAAACCATAACATGCAATCCCGTCATCCGGTATCATCACATATAAACAATACGGGTAGTTCATATGACTCTAAGATTACATGCTTTTCTTTTTCTTGTCGGTTATAACTTGGACATGTCAAGTTTCGGCCCGAGTACTTGTAACTTGTACACATGTATTGCTGGCCGGCTTTTATAACTTGTAGTTGACCCATTGGGCCCTTGTAAACTTGTATTTGTGAAACTTGGACAAGCCGAGTCATAACCTTAACCTCTTAGTCTTACATATATCATGAA